CCATATGATTCTCTCAATAGATGCCGAGAAAGCATTTAATAAAATACAACACCCTTTCATGATGAAAACTCTAAGCAAACTGGGTATGGAAGGAACATTCCTCAATACAATCAAAGCAATATATGAAAAACCCACAGCCAACATCCTATTGAATGGGGAAAAGTTGGAAGCATTTCCACTGAGATCTGGGACCAGACAGGGATGTCCACTCTCACCACTGCTATTCAATATAGTTCTGGAGGTTCTAGCCAGAGCTATTAGGCAAGAAAAAGAAATTAAAGGGATACAAATTGGGAAGGAAGAACTCAAACTATCCCTCTTTGCAGATGACATGATTCTTTATTTAGAGGACCCAAAGAACTCTACTAAGAGACTATTGGAACTCATAGAAGAGTTTGGCAAAGTAGCAGGGTATAAAATCAATGCACAAAAATCAACAGCCTTTGTATACACAGACAATGCCATGGCTGAGGAAGAACTTCTAAGATCAATCCCATTCACAATAGCTACAAAAACAATCAAATACCTTGGAATAAACTTAACCAAGGACGTTCAAGATCTCTACGATGAGAATTACAAAACCTTAAAGAAAGAAATAGAAGAGGATACCAAGAAATGGACAAATCTTCCATGCTCATGGATTGGAAGAATCAATATCATCAAAATGTCCATTCTCCCAAAAGCAATTTATAAATTCAATGCAATACCAATCAAGATACCAAAGACCTTCTTCTCAGATCTGGAAAAAATGGTGCTGAAATTCATATGGAGGCACAAGAGACCTCGAATAGCTAAAGTGTTATTCATTTTCTAAGGTAACAGCTGGGAGGAAGGACCCTTATTCTGAGCCTTCTCGTCCTAACCAACATGAGAAAATGTTAGGGGGACCAAGATGTCTGTGCTATGAAGTTTTCCTTAACTACTCTAAATTGTTTCTGAGTTTTTTTTTTTCTGTTGTATTATTAAGACTTCCTTTAAGCAATAAATAAATTCTTTAAGCAATAAGTAATTTTATTATAAATAATTTTTTTTAGAATGGAATAAAAAAGTATATAGATAGGCTTACTTAGAAGGCAACCTTTGGCCAGCGTTGCAGCTCACTAGGCTAATCCTCCGCCTTGCGGCGCCGGCACACCGGGTTCTAGTCCCGGTCGGGGCACCGGATTCTGTCCCGGTTGCCCCTCTTCCAGGCCAGCTCTCTGCTGTGGCCAGGGAGTGCAGTGGAGGATGGCCCAAGTGCTTGGGCCCTGCACCCCATGGGAGACCAGGAGAAGCACCTGGCTCCTGGCTCCTGCCATCGGATCAGCGCGGTGCGCCCGCCGCAGTGCGCAGGCCGCGGCAGCCATTGGAGGGTGAACCAACGACAAAAGGAAGACCTTTCTCTCTCTCTCTCTCTCTCTCTCTCTCTCTCTCACTGTCCACCCTGCCTGTCAAAAAAAAAAAAAAAAAGACAACCTTTGAGAAAAGACCCAAAAAATGAAAGAACTTCCTTCTGCATTTCAGTGTGCCTGGCTTGCTCGTGGAGTGCGTGGAGACTAGCTTGGCGATGCTGAAGGGGATGAGGGAAGAATAAGAGAGTAGGCCAGGTGGGCCGCTCATTCTAGACTCGGGCTTTCACAACAGTGGAGATGGGAAGCTGTGGGCAGGTTTCTAGCAAGGAATGAGGTGATGATTTATGCATTTAAACCATGCTCCTGACCACATCAGGGGAGCAGAGAGTGAGCCTAATAAAGCAGCCAGAAGGCAATATCTCCAAAAAAAAAAAAAAAAAAAAAAGTGCATGTCTTTAGCAAGGATGTTGGCAGCGGAGAAGAGAGAGGATGGCTTTGCACATGTTTTGGAGGTAAATCAATGGTTACTTTCTAACTGACTGTAAGAAAAAGAAAGAGAAAGAAAGGGAAATGAAGGGAAGCACAAAGCATAAAAGGAAGCAGTGAGGCCGATAGAAGAGAAACTGGAGTGTGCTCCTGAGGCCAAGCGAACTCTGGGTTTTGAGGAGGGGACAGTGCTTAGCTGTGTCAAGAAAGATGGCAACTGGGAAACTGTGACGTTTGGCAAGGTGGGTCTTTCGCAGCCTCTTCAAGGGCTGCTTTGATTGAGTGGTGGGGATGAAACAGGATAGGAATGAGTTTAAGAAGGAAGAGGAGCACAGAGAACATATACATAAGATTTGCCAGGGGATAGGTAGTTTCCTGAAGATAAAGTCCACATTGCCTGAAATATAGATGATGAGGATCAAATGCATCCATAAACAGGGACACAGAAACTAATCCATCGATGAAGCACGACTTTACAACCATTAGAATCTCAAAATTAAAGGAAGGAAAAAAAAAACACGTTATGCTTCCTAGAAAAGGGAAAGGATGCATTCCATCAGTGATGGGAGTTGCAACTTCCAGAAGCATTTTTGGAAGTCATTTGGCAATATCTATTTAAATTTTGTAAAAGCTCATTAATTACAATCCCACCCTTTGATGTCTATCCTATAAAATGACTTACAAACCACACACTCATCAGTAAGACACAAAGGTGAGGGTGTTTATTACAGCATTGTTTATAGGAACAGTTGGCTGGAGACACTGTGGAGTCCATCCTCCTTATTCACAACTTCCATATTTGCAAATTCACTTGGTGATAAAATTGATTTTCAAAAATAATAATCACATCATGTTTGTAATCATTCCAGGGCACAGAAGGAAAAAATAAAAATAAAATCACATTGTCCAATGCTTGCGTTCCCAGCAGAGGTAGAACAAGACAATATTCTGCTTTCTTGTTTCAACTCTCGTTCTGTAAACAACAGCCTTTTTTATGGTCCATTTAGTGTCACATTTTTCACATGATTGTGGTTTATGTTGATGAAGTCACCGTTTTAAATGACCCTCAGATGCAGGGCAAAGTACTGTCTGGTGTTCCTAAGTGCAAGAAGTGCTTTACAGAGAAAATATGTGTGTTAGGTAATCCTTGTTCAGGCATGAGTTATGGTGCTATCGGCTATGAGTTCAATGTTAACAAATCAACAATATATATTCAATGAGATGGCTTTAAGCAGAAACATACATAAGAAAAATTACATGTTTATAAGTTGACAAAAATGTGACCAGGGAGACTTGAAGGAATTTAACCTTGAATTTCCCCTTGGAGCAATGGTTTGGTACTCACTTCAGTATTTGTGGTGATTTTATAGAATATGACTGCCTTTAATAACAAGCACAGACTGTTACCCTTTTGTAAGGACTCAGTAAATTAAGATAGACCCCATGGAAATTCAAAAAAAAAATTTTAAGGATTTATTTAGTTATGCAGAGAGAAAGGGAGAGAGCGAGCGAGCGAGCGAGCACTTTTATCTGCTAGCTCACTCCCCAAAAGGCCACAATTGTCAAGACTAGGCCAGTCCCAGGAATCTCATCCAGGTCCTCCATGTGGGTGCAGGAGCCTAAGTACTTGGGCCATTTTCTGTCACCTTCCCATGCATTTTAGTAAGGAGCTGGATCAGAAGTGGGGCGGCTGGGTCTTGAACCAGCACCCATATTGGATGCCAGCATCGCAGTCAGCAGCTTAACCTGCTATGCCATGATGCAGGCCCCATGAAATGTTAAAGATCACTGATTCAAGCGAACTGAATTCCCCAGAGTTATTTCCATAAAGTACGGTTGCATGAGACAACTTAACTTGCAGGGATGTATAATATGATGTCACCTTTGACTGTCATCTGTCATCTCTCTGTGTGTTGCCATGTGGTATCAGCACACCAGGGTGGGAACAGAGGACTCTTCAGAGTGAGGGTGGGTGTCTGAGTAGCAGTTGCTTGTTGTAAAGAGGCTGGGGTAGGTTAAGGAAACAGCATGATTGATGATTTGTATAGAATGACTTGTGTACTGTGATGACATCTGTTGGAAAAACTGATAGTTAGTCCTCTGTATACTGACTTGTTGGGATGGGTAAAAAAAAAGTTGCAAAATAACATGTAAAATTTGATTCTATTTTAGTAAAAACTTGCTTAGCATGCCTAAGTATGAGAATGAGTGAAGAAATAGATGTGTAGGGGCCAGTGCTGTGGTATAGCAGATTAAGCCACTGCCTGCAACGCTGGCATCCCATACTAGCACTGGTTCAAGTCCCGGCTACTCCACTTCCAATCCAGCTCCCTAAAAATGGCCTGGGAAAAGCAATGGAAGATGGCTCGAGTGCTTGGACCCCTACTACCCACATGAGAGACCCAGATGAAGCTCCTGGCTCCTGGCTAAAGCCTGGCTGTTGTAGCCACTTGGGGGAGTGAACCAGCAGATGAAAGACCTCTCTCTTGGCCGGCACCATGGCTCATTAGGCTAATCCTCTGCCTGTGGCGCCAGCACTCCAGGTTCTAGTCCTGGTTGGGGCACCGGATTCTGTCCTGGTTGCACCTCTTGCAGGCCAGCTCTCTGCTGTGGCCTGGGAAGGCAGTGGAGGATGGCCCAAGTGCTTGGGTCCCTGCACCCACATGGGAGACCAGGAGGAAGCTCCTGGCTTCGGAACAGCGCAGCGCACCGGTGGTAGCAGCCATTTGGGGGGTGAACCAATGGAAGGAAGACCTCTCTCTCTCTCTCTCTCACTATTTAACTCTGCCTGTCCAAAAAAAAAAAAAAAAAGCCTCTTTCTCTCTTTCCTTTTTCTGTAAAATAAATAAATAAATAAATAATCTTTTTTGTAAAAAAAAAAAAAAAAGAAAAGAAATAGATGTCAAGAGGTTGGGAGTTCTATGAGCAAAGATTTTTTTTATGCTCATTTCCATCGATTTGTTTTGGTAAGTATCATTTTGTTGAAATTTGAAACAAGTACAAATAAAATGTGAGAAAGCATTTATAAGCCAAATATCATTTAACTAACAAAGATAGAGCCATTTGTAATAGATGTTAGCCAGTTTGCTACATGCTGATCTTATTAGCACATTTTGAAAACAGCACCAGTTCTGAGTTGTTACATGGGATCCTTTACAATTCTTTGTTTTCTTTTTCTTCTAGGAATCGTTAAGAGCCGTCAGATATGAAATATCTCCAGATAAGGAGTATGCACTTTTCTCATATAACGTGGGACCAGTGAGTACTACCTTTTCCCAAAGAATTGTTGCTTTATTCTGGCACTGCATTAAATGTACCTCCTCGAATCTTCATTTGTAATGCTCTTTGAATCCTGAAATATTCTGTGGCTCTCTTTTGTATGTCATACTGCCACCTAGGAGAGAGGAAAGGTATAAAAACTTCTTTGGCAGAAAAAAAAATCACTCATCTTAGAGGCTTCTCATAGGATTTTCTTGGGGAGAACGTGAGAATTTGTCTTTTTATAGAGATTTATCGTACTCTTTTGTGCAATGATTTTTCTTGTCTTGTTCTCAAGCTATAATTTTAATCCTAACTCGAAAAGCAGCTACTGGATTCTCCCTAAACGAAAGTAGTGATGTTTATTAGGTGGCCATCACAGGGTTCAAGTGAAGAGCTGAATTATAAGTTTCATTGTTTCAATCCCTACTTATCGCACCACCTAGATATGAATCTCCCATAAAATTTCATATGAATTTGCTATAAAATCTCACCCTGGACCTTAGTAGCAGCCTGAACTTTCCTAAGCTTGGATTTTCTTTCTTCTTTTACTTTTTTTTTCCAAGATACTAATATATTAGAATTTATCTCAGCTCTTTAATTTTAAATGAGCAAGCAGGTGAAATGCATTTGTACAAGTAAAGCAAATGTTCAGCGTTTATGAGATTAGCAACTTTTGAAATGTGCAGTTTGAGAAATGTTAACCTAGGAAACCCAGGTTAGGCTTGCACAAAGCTACAAGTCCAATCCTAGAACTTAACGTTTCTCTTTTGAAAGTTGATTTCATAGCTGAATTATTTATTGGAAATTTCACCTTTATTCCTCCCAATGTAGATTTAAAAAAAAATTTGTTTATTTATTTGAAAGGCAGAGTTACAGAGACACACAGAGAAAGAGAGAGGGAGAAGGAGGGAGAATCAGAGAGGGAGGTCTTCTATCCACTATCTACTCCCCAAATGGCCACAATGGGCGGAGCTGGCTTGAGCAGAAGTATGGAAGAGCTGTCCAATGCAGCGTGGGTGGAGAGAGAAATGAGTAAACAAGAACCAGTGATCAAGGGGTTTAGATATAAATTCTAAGATAAGATCTTGAGGAGAGTAAGAGTTGGAGGAGAGATTTTGGTTTCTATATTTTATTATGTGTCACTTTCTCTTATTTATTCAGACTAATCACAGTGTTGTACTATTTCTCAGTTGTTTGACGTGGACTGGTTTCATTTGCCTATGCTTACACAGTCAGCTACTTGGAGAGACGGACAGGCCTTTTTATCTCTTGTATATCACCGCTCTCAAGACCTAACACAGGACCATCTGGGTGCATTTGCTGCCAGACAGACATGTTTGTGGTATTATCTTCTCTCTGAACCTCATAGCACTAGGTCAAGATGCACTGCAAATTCTTGAAATTACATCAAACATACAAATTACATAATAAAAGGAGACCCCAGTCATAATATATCTGAGTGACACTTCATGTTCATTCTAGAAATGTGTATCATGCTAATTAGCAAACTTGTTTCTGTAAAGTCTCCTAATACTACAAATCTGTGACTTGGCTAACATTCTTGAACACTCACAGATTAGTTAGTTTTAACTCCGTCAACTCTGCTTCATTGATGGCATCAAGAGTTCCTTTCAAGAAGTTAAAAAAATCAATTCTCGCCGGTGCCATGGTTCACTAGGCTAATCCTCTGCCTTGCAGCGTCGGCACACGGGGTTCTAGTCCCGGTCGGGGCGCCGGATTCTGTCCCGGTTGCCCCTCTTCCAGGCCAGCTCTCTGCTGTGGCCCGGGAGTGCAGTGGAGGATGGCCCAAGTGCTTGGGCCCTGCAACCCATGGGAGACCAGGAGAAGCACCTGGCTCCTGCCATTGGATCAGCGCGGTGCGCCGGCCGCAGCGTGGCAGCCATTGGAGGGTGAACCAACGGCAAAAGGAAGACCTTTCTCTCTGTCTCTCTCTCTCTCACTGTCTACTCTTCCCGTTAAAAAAATTTTTTTTAATTAAAAAAAAATCAATTCTCATGTAGATTTGAAAAAGAGTAAACCAAAGAACAGTTTTACATTTTTTCTAAGATGAAGACACCTACAGGTCCATACATGGTGTGTGTGAAATGTGGAAAATAGTTTAAAATCATATTTTTATTTATGGGGTGCCGTCTTTATAGTTTCCAAAGTGTGCTTGTTTACTTCATCTTGTTTCTTTTCAAAAGATTATCCCCCCCCAAATGAGCCAATGCTTGCCAAATGAGTTTTATTTTGTTTACTTTATGTAGAACTTTGCATCATTTCACAATGTACAGTTTCTGAACAGTTCTCTTGAAACCAATGTAGATGCTGGGGGAATACTATGTTTTTATGTTTAATTTGAAAATTATGCTAACTGTACCACCTCTACTGAAAGGAGAAAAATGCCATAAAACAAACTTATTTAATTAGAGCATAATGTTCCTTCATACTGATGCATGTTTGACAAATATGGAAAGTTCACAAAGCGCATTCAGGAAGAGGAAGAAAATTTTTAAATGCAATATCTTAGAATATTTAAGAATATTAACATATTGTGTGAGTTTCAAAGAAGAGAGAGGAATTATATCTGCAAAATATTCTTCCTTACAGTATCTTTTCTGAGAAAGCCACTTACGATTTATGTAGTTTCATCACAATGTTGAAGGGAGTTAATTGGAATGATAATCCTTATGGTCAATGGAACATCATTTCGGTCAAAAGAAAATTTTGTCCAAGATGTGGTCTAAATAAAATACCAGTCAGTAACATAGTCTTTTTTTTTTTTAAAGATTTATTTATTTTATATGAAAGTCAGAGTTACACAGAGAAAGGAGATGCAGAGAGAGGGAGAGGTCTTCCATCTTCTGGTTCACTCCCCAATTGGCCGCAACGGCCCGAGCTGCGCCAATCTGAAGCCAGGAGCCAGGAGCTTCTTCCGGGTCTCCCATGTGGATGCAGGGGCCCAAGGACTTGGGCCATTTTCTACTGCTTTCCCAGCAGAGAGCTGGATCAGAAGTGGAGCAGCTGGGTCTTGAACTGGCACCCATATGGGATGCCGGCGCTGCAGATGGTGGCTTTACCCGCTATGCCACAGCACCGGCCCCACAGTCATTTAATTAGCAAAATATGCTGATGTATGTGCTGATTTTAGTTATTTTTTACTACGTAACAAATTACCCAAAAATTTAATGACCGAACCAGCCACTGTGGCACAGGGAGTTAAGTCACTGTTTGGAATGCCTGAATCCCTTACTGCCCATTCTGCCCCAGCTGCTCTGCTTCTGATCCAGTTCTCTGCTCATGCACTGGGAAAGGCAGTGGAGGATGGCCCAAGAGCTTGGGCCTGACACCCATATGAGAGACCATGGTGGCGTTCCTGGCTCCTGGCTTCAGCCTGGCTCAGACCTGGCTGTTGTATTCATTGGGGAAATGAACCAGGATATATAAAATCTCTCCCTCTTTGAAATGAATTAATCTTATGATGGTAATCTTATGATGTTAATCTTGTCTTGAAAGAGAGTCTGGGCTGGGCATCAGGGAAACCAAGTTCTTGATGCTCCTCTGCAAGTAGGTAGAGGACCGGAGGTGGGCCAAGCAGCTTCACTGTTGCTGTCAGAGCAATGGAGATAACAAGGTGTTCCCTAGTGACTCGAGAGCATTGTGGAAGCCAATGTGGACAAAAACATAACTGCCTGGGTTTGTGCAAATTAAATGAGTAATATAAGAATTCTCTGTACTGCTATTACTTTTTCAAGTTTTATTTATTTGAGAGGCAAAGAGACAGAAAGAAAGATTTCCCATGTGTTAGTGTACTCCCAAATGCCCACAGTGACTGGAGCTGGGTTGGGGCCAGAGACAGGAGGTGGAAATTCAATCCAGGTCTGCCGCATGGGTGGCAGGAACCCAATTACTTGAGCAGTCACCTATTGCCTTCTAGGGTCTGCATTGGAGAGACGCGGGAATCAGCAGCAAGACCTGGGACTGGAACTTAGTCACTCTGATGTGGGACACAGGCGCAGTAACCACTAGGCTAACTGCCCATCCCTGTTACTTTTATTATATATTCAAGCTCAGTGGAATGAATCCATAGAAATCGAGCACTCCTACAATTCTCTTAGAAACTCAAGTCAAAATCTTACTTTTGGGAGCTGCTAACTACTTCCAGACTCTTAAATTTAACTATAAACTTAGTGTTCAATGAGGAGCCATTATAAATATGAATATATTTCTTTTGGTTTACTGGTACATTTCTTAAAGTTTTTTTTTTTTTAATGTGAACTACAAAGAGGAAGTATCCAATATGTCCATTTTTCTTCTAAGGATTATGTCTCAGCAGTTAAGGATGATTTTACTGACTCATTGGGGAAGCCAATCAAGTACTTTGTCATTCCATGGACAGCCAGCTGTGGTCCCTAGAGCTGACATTCAGAATCACACCGAGGCGTCCTTGTTATCAAGTTCCTTGTCTCCCAGCCATCTCCAGAAAGCCCTGCCTGCAGCCCATGACAAAGAATCTCTGGAAATTGAATTGTGAGGCGTGTGCGGCCTTAGGCATTTGTCCCAGTGCAGAGACAGGAAGTGGCATTTTTCTTGTGTCTCCAGCACTTAAAATGTTTCCTATGCTGGTTTTAACCAAGTCACAGACCTTTTCTCATCTTTTTTTTTTTTTTTTTTTTTTTTTTTTTTTTTTCCAGTCAGAGGGCAGATGCTGGGAACAAGACAGGAAATTGAATGATCCCTTGGCTCTGGCAGCTTCTGTCTCAGAGGGAGGCACAGTGGACAACAGCTCTCAGCTGCGTGCTTTTCCCCCTGCGGCCTTAGCCTACTCTATCCTGAGAAAGGTTGGGGGGCTTTTCATTGCAGGAATCTGAAGCAGTTCTCACACTGATAAATTTCTATTCCTTCCCTGGCCTTATGTGAGTTAATACAACCTATTGTATCATTTAAGGGACTGTGAAATTTATAACTTACGTAAAGCTTACACAACACCCAAACAT